ACCGCCTCCGTGGTGTAGTGGTTAGAGCGTCCGCCCGGAGAGCGGAAGGTCGCGGGTTCGATCCCCGACCGCGTCATACCAAAAGACGTTAAAATATGGTACTTGTTGGTCCCTGCCTGGCGCTCGGCATTAATGGATACAAAAAGGACTGGTCGGCTCGGAGTCGGCATAATGTGTCTGAGTGGGGTATTCATGCCTCACTGCAGCAAGGTATCTCAGTGGGCTAGCACTATAAAACCAGCTTCAGTCTGGGCTAGTACAAGCAGCTGCACCTACACATACACACGCATGCACGTCGTCATATGAGCGAAATATTCTCCAGCACCCAGGACCCTGGTATTGCCTGCAAGGAATGTTCAAACTACTAATTAGGGGCCCCAGGAACCCCGTGTTTTTGAGCCGAGGTAAAACCCAGGTGTTTGTTAAACTAACGCATAGTCTCTGAATATACAAAACTTCTATAGAAACAAATAATTTCTTTTAAAATGAAAAGGAGCCCATGTGAGATGGCAGATTCAGAACCTGTGGAAAGCTAGATATACTTTATTTAGGGATTTAACATTGTAGAAACGGTTATGTGGAGGCGAAAATGTGGTTCAGAGACTGTGACACAGTCTAGGTGTCTGTTTCCCAGTTTTGTTCTCCCAGTGGGATCCCGAGTCTAGTATTAGAGTCATTAGTTCGGAGTACTTGATAGGTTTCAGCTTGTGAATGGGTTAAACATGTTATCCATTTCAATCATTGTCATTGTTCACCATCTGATATCTTAGTCTTATGACCCCTAATTGAAAAGGAGATCCAGTGTGATGGCAGATTAAGATCCAGAGGAAATCTAGACTTGCTTCATACAGGGCTTTAGCATTGTAGAAAGGGCTATGTGGGAGGAAAATAATCTCGGGAACTGTGAGACAGGCTTCGGTGTGGGTGAATCTTTCATTGTATAGCAGGAACGCCCACACTGCCTGCAGCCTTGGTGCTTGTGCACCCTGATGACCGTCTGCCATTCCTGAGGAGTTAATGTGCATGTGTGATGGAGGTGGGGTCTGCATGATCAGGACTCTTCTTGGTGGGGAAAACATTATAGAAACACATTCAGGGTAAAATGTTCGACCTTTTGATAATCATTGCTGCTGTATTGTTGGGAGTTTATCAGAAGGCGGGAAGGTGCATTTGTTTGCATAAAGCCTTGGGATATATTGTTGCATTACTGCCCTTTCATGTACACATATTTGCTCATGTTGATGTTAATACTGTAGAATAGAATGATAAAATGTCATCGTTTACCTGTTTAAGCAATATGTGAGTGAGAGAATACGCCACTTTTAGTTTTAGCAATATCACAAAGGAGGACACCAGAAATGGGCTTCACACGTTGTTCCTATGTGGAGAATCAAACCCGGGTCTTCAGCATGACATGCAAGTGTTTAAACCATTAGGCTACCCCACTGCCCCATTTGAGCAATGGTAAAGACGCTATGAGCTACTTTCAGTTGGTCCAATGATATTTATGACATTGTATGAAATAAGGCCTGTCCGACCGCCCGAGACTGTCTAGATTTCTGCCGGACGGTCTAAATTTACAGCTAGCCAGCCCAATGGTCTGGTAAAATTTTTAGATGTTCCATACATCTGAGTAAATTCACCATATTTGGTCTGGTTAAATGTCTGGCTGGATATTTGGCTTGTTTCATCCACTGTTTATGACCAGTTATCACAGGGAGAAAAGGTCCAATTAAATGGACTGTCCCAGCAAGTTTAATTCAATATATTTAAAAACAATTGTTTTGTCTCCCAATTGAAATTTTATGATCGTACCAAAGAGACATGTTGCCTTTTTGCCATTTTGCAACATGGATTTACTTTAGGGCACAGAGGGATCCAGAGTTCTGGTCCTTTTCTGTGTCAGGATCTGCTGATTGTGGGTTCTGATACCACCTTGGCCTTTGAGTATGATCTTTGCGTTGTGAGCATCATACTTTTGCTCTTGGAAATACCTGCCCTGAGACCGCGTCGGTGGTGTAGTGGTTAGAGCGTCCGCCCGGAGAGCAGAAGGTCATGGGTTCGATCCCCGACCGAGTCATCCCAAAATACGTTAAAATATGGTACTTGTTGGTCCCTGCCTGGCGCTCGGCATTAATGGGTACAACAAGGACTGGTCGGCTCGGAGTCAGTATACTGTGTCTGAGTGGGGTATTCATGCTTCACTGCGACATGGTATCTCATTGGGCTAGCACTATAAAAAAAACAGCTTCAGGCTGGGCTAGTACAAGCAGCCGCACATACATATACACACGCATGCACGTTGTCATATGAGTGAAATATTCTCAAGCACGACGTTAAACCCAATTTCACCTCACCTCACCTGCCCTGAGTTTGTAAAATATGCTCAAAGCATCCCAAAGCTATTCACAATTACAAACTCTTTATGTTAAACTGTACCCAAAACTCTTTAAAAAGCAGAAATTTAGTCACATCCTGGTTTATGACTTATTGACAGAAAAGTAACCGAGTCTAACTTGATGGAGAAAGAGGAAGCCGTTGTCAGTGTGGTGTCATGGTGTTGTTCATCCCCCCAGCTTTATAGCTGCAGGTGAAACAAATAATTCCTTTTAAAATAAAAAGGAGCCCCTGTGAGATGGCAGATTCAGAACCTGTGGAAATCTAGATATACTTTATTTAGGGATTTAACATTGTAGAAACGGCTATGTGGTGGCGAAAATGTGGTTCAGAGCCTGTGAGACAGTCTAGGTGTCTGTTTCCCAGTTTTGTTCCCCCTGTGGGATCCCAAGTCTAGTATTAGAGTCATTAGTTCGGAGTACTTGATAGGTTTCAGCTTGTGAATGGGTTAAACATGTTATCCATTTCAATCATTGTCATTGTTCACCATCTGATATCTTAGTGTTATGACCCCTAATTGAAAAGGAGATCCAGTGTGATGGCAGATTAAGATCCAGAGGAAATCTAGACTTGCTTCATACAGGGCTTTAGCATTGTAGAAAGGGCTATGTGGGAAGGAAAATAATCTCGGGAACTGTGAGACAGGCTTCGGTGTGGGTGAATCTTTCATTGTATACCAGGAACGCCTACACTGCCTGCAGCCTTGGTGCTTGTGCACCCTGATGACCGTCTGCCATTCCTGAGGAGTTAATGTGCATGTGTGGTGGAGGTGGGGTCTGCATGATCAGGACTCTTCTTGGTGGGGGAAACATTATAGAAACACATTCAGGGTAAAATGTTCGACCTTTTGATAATCATTGCTGCTGTATTGTTGGGAGTTTATCAGAAGGCAGGAAGGTGCATTTGTTTGCATTAAGCCTTGGGATATATTGTTGCATTACTGCCCTTTCATGCATACGTATTTGTTCATGTTGATGTTAATACTGTAGAATAGAATGATAAAATGTCATCGTTTACCTGTTTAAGCAATATGTGAGTGAGAGAATACGCCACTTTTAGTTTTAGCAATATCACAATGGAGGACACCAGAAATGGGCTTCACACGTTGTTCCCATGTGGAGAATCAAACCCGGATCTTCATCATGACAAGCAAATGCTTAAACCATTAGGCTACCCCACTGCCCCATTTGAGCAATGGTAAAGAAGCTATGAGCTACTTTCAGTTGGTCCAATGATATTTATGACAGCGGATGAAATATGAAATAAGGCCCGCCCGAGACGGTCTAGATTTCTGTCGGACGGTCTAAATTTACAGCTACCTGTCCAATGGTCTGGTAAATATTTTAGATGTTCCATACATCTGAGTAAATTCACCATAATTGGACTGGTTAAATCCATTTTGGGCTGGTAACATTTTGAAGTTACCAGCCCTGATGTCTGGCTGGATATTTGGCTTGTTTCATTCACTGTTTATGACCAGTTATCACAGGGAGAAAAGGTCCAATTAAATAGACTGTCCCAGCAAGTTTAATTCAATATATTTAAAAACAATTGTTTTGTCTCCCAATTGAAACTTTATGATCGTACCAAAGAGACATGTTGCCTTTTTGCCATTTTGCAACATGGATTTACCGGTACTTTAGGGCACAGAGGGATCCAGGGTTCTGGTCCTTTTCTGTGTCAGGATCTGCTGATTGTGGGGTCTGATACCACCTTGGCCTTTTAGTGTGATCTTTGGGTTGTGAGCATCATACTTTTGCTCTTGGAAACACCTGCCCTGAGTTTTTAAAATATGCTCAAAGCAGCCTAAAGCTATTCACACGTACAAACTCTTTATGTTAAACTGCACCCAAAACTCTTTATAAAGCAGAAATTTAGTCACATCCTGGTTTATGACTTATTGACAGAAAAGTAACCGAGCCTATCTAGCTGCAGGTGGCCCCAACATCAGAGACAACCATCTGCAGATGCAGTATCTCCATGGTTACCTGTCATCATTATCCGTTTCCACTGGGTCTTGGTCATTATGTCAGCCTCTGCGGTCAGGTGGTTCACGGTGAGGGACCGTGGGTTTACAGGGTTTTACACAACTCGCAAATGTGCATCCAGTATGCACAAATGTAGACAATGGACACAGAAAAAAAAATTCACTCTGTCCTAAGGAATGCACAGTATTATTCATTGTACCCACAACACATCCATGACTTTGCTAAGTGTTTGGTTGTTTCTTTCAGAGCAGTAGTGAGCATCATTTCATCCATCAGTCCACATGATCAATGATTCAATCCAGGCTCTAAAGAAATTATCAAAACATACAGTTCTCTACACCGTAGCTTCACAGGACCCTCATAAGGCCTGCAAGGACCCTTAAAACTAATAATTGGAGGTCCCTGGCACCCCCATGTTTGTGAATTGAGGTAAAACCCTGCTTAAAAGGGGATGAGACAGTGACTGGTTACATCAGAGTATCAGACTTACACTTATATGACTTAGTCTCAGAAAATGTATAACTCTAGGAAACAAAGAGCTTCATTTACACTGATAAGGAGCTCCTAGGAGATAGGAGATTTAGAACCTGACTTGTTGCCTTTAGTGCTTTTACATTACATGTAGAGCTGGGCTGAAGGGAAAAATTATGGTTCAGGGACTGTGAGACAGACCATTAGAGTCAGTGTATTGTGTTTGAGTGGGCCATCTATGTTAAACTGTGACATTGTATCTGAGAGCTAGAGCTATAAATCCAGCCTCTGCCAACACTGGTATAAGAAGACGCATGCATGCATGTACTGCCCACATGCACGTTGGTATGAGTTGGTTGGTTTATGGTTAATGCTGCACTCAGCAATATTCCAGCTATATGGCGGCAGTCTGTAAATAATCAAGCCTGGACCAGACAATCCAGTGATCAACAGCATGAGCATCAATCTATGCAATTAAGATACGATGACATGTGTCAACAAAGTCAGTGAGCCTGACCACTCGAACCTGTTAGTTGCTTCTTACGACAAGCATGGGTTGCTGAAGACCAATTCTAACCCGGATCATCACGGGTCAGAACAATCTTGAACACCACATGGAACCTCCATTCACCTCACATAATATCAACAACCTGCATGTCTCCTGGAGTTTATTATTTCCTGGTTGGTGTGATATTGTTGGAAAATCATGTGATGTTGCCTGGAATGCAGCAGCAAATATATTTCCTGCCAGGGCTACGGATCAATTGAAAAGGGCTACGTAACTGGGAAACTAACAGACTGGAATGTTGATACGACACACGCAACACACGCAGCGTGTACTGGCTCATTCAAACTTAACTCTTTAGCTGCCACAAGAAGTCCATGGTGACACAGCATGGAAACACACCACGGGGATCGGACATACAGACATGTGTTGGATATTGGATTCCCACACACATATCATCTACTACTGAGTATTTTAGTTTCCCTATGTCGGCTAGAGTGAAGCATCTCCAGATTGAATCACATGGGACTGGGTGAGTGTGATCTGTTCTGTATTGATCAACACGGCTGTAAAATTCACATGTGAGGCAGGATCTAGAGATATCATGTTATTTAAAGAGTTTTGCCTGTGGGCATGAGTGAACACCCTTTCCGGGAGGATTTGACTTGATTACGTGTGTTGAGAAGTTGGAGTCACTGTGCTGTGCTGAGTCATGATGTTTACCTTGGTTCTCTGTACTAGACACTCAGCTGGTCAGTTGCAGTGGATGTAGACAGGTAGGCAAATGACAGACTTTGTTACACAGGGAGGCACATGACATGTTGTTACACAGGTAGGCAAATGACATGCTGTTGTTACACAGGTAGGCAAGTAACAGACTGTTGTTACACAGGTAGGCAAATGACAGACTTTGTTACACAGGGAGGCACATGACATGTTGTTACACAGGTAGGCAAATGACATGCTGTTGTTACACAGGTAGGCAAGTAACAGACTGTTGTTACACAGGTAGGCAAATGACAGACTGTTGTTACACAGGTAGGCAAATGACATGCTGTTGTTACACAGGCAGGCAAATGACAGACTGTTGTTACACAGGTAGGCACATGCACAGGCAGGCAAATGTTGTTGTTACACAGTTACACAGGGGTAGGCAAATGACAGACTTTTGTTACATGGGTAGGCAAATGACAGACTGTTGTTACACAGGTAGGCAAATGACAGACTGTTGTTACACAGGTAGGCAAATGACAGACTGTTGTTACACAGGGAGGCAAATGACAGACTGTTGTTACACAGGGAGGCAAATGACAGACTGTTGTTACACAGGGGTTGTTACAGGCAAATGACAGACTGTTGTTACACAGGTAGGCAAATGACATGCTGTTGTTACACAGGGAGGCAAATGACAGACTGTTGTTACACAGGGAGGCAAATGACATGCTGTTGTTACACAGGGAGGCAAATGACATGCTGTTGTTACACAGGTAGGCAAATGACAGACTGTTGTTACACAGGTAGGCAAATGACAGACTGTTGTTACACAGGGAGGCAAATGACAGACTGTTGTTACACAGGGAGGCACATGACATGCTGTTGTTACACAGGGAGGCAAATGACAGACTGTTGTTACACAGGGAGGCACATGACATGTTGTTACACAGGTAGGCAAATGACATGCTGTTGTTACACAGGGAGGCAAATGACATGTTACACAGGCAGGCAAATGACATGCTGTTGTTACACAGGGAGGCAAATGACATGTTACACAGGCAGGCAAATGACATGCTGTTGTTACACAGGTAGGCAAATGACAGACTGTTGTTACATGGATAGGCAAATGACATGCTGTTGTTACACAGGTAGGCAAATGACATGCTGTTGTTACACAGGGAGGCAAATGACAGACTGACCTTTGTGACACAGTTGTTTGACTTGTGACTTTGACTCAAGTTATCATATGACTGACCCCAGTGACATAGGTAGGCAAATAGGTGTTTGACTCACCGTGGGACTCAGGTAGGCATGTGTCTGACCACAGGAATACAGGTAGGTGAATGACCGATCATCAAACGCAGAAAAGCAATTGTCTGACATTTGAGGTAGAGTTAGGCCAATACCTGACCATTGTGAGACATAAGTGATTGATGTGATGTAAGTGATTGGTTAATCCTGTCATCAATTAATACTGAGGGTTAATCCTGTCATCAATTGATACTAAGGGTTAATCCTGTCATAAATTGATACTGAGGGTTAATTCTGTCATCAATTGATACTAAGGGTTAATCCTGTCATCAATTGATACTAAGGGTTAATCCTGTCATCAGTTGATACTGAGGGTGAATCCTGACATCAATTGATACTAAGGGTTAATCCTGTCATCAATTGATACTGAGGGTTAATTCTGTCATCAATTGATACTAAGGGTTAATCCTGTCATCAATTGATACTGAGGGTTAATCCTGTCATCAATTGATACTAAGGGTTAATCCTGTCATCAGTTGATACTGAGGGTTAATCCTGACATCAATTAATACTAAGGGTTAATCCTGTCAGCAATTGATACTGAGGGTTAATTCTGTCATCAATTGATACTAAGGGTTAATCCTGTCATCAATTGATACCAAGGGTTAATCCTGTCATCAATTGATACTAAGGGTTAATTCTGTCATCAATTGATACTGAGGGTTAATCCTGTCATCAATTGATACTAGGGTTAATCCTGTCATCAGTTGATACTGAGGGTTAATCCTGTCATCAATTGATACTGAGGGTTAATTCTGTCATCAATTGATACTAAGGGTTAATCCTGTCATCAATTGATACTAAGGGTTAATCCTGTCATCAATTGATACTGAGGGTTAATCCTGTCATCAATTGATACTGAGGGTTAATTCTGTCATCAATTGATACTAAGGGTTAATCCTGTCATCAATTGATACTAAGGGTTAATTCTGTCATCAATTGATACTAAGGGTTAATCCTGTCATCAATTGATACTAAGGGTTAATCCTGTCATCAATTGATACTAAGGGTGAGGGAAAATATTTTGTTTCATAAGCCATGCTGCTCATGATACCCCATCAGCTGTTTTCACTCTACCTTGCTGGTAATAGTAAACAGTAACGCAGTAATCTGAGGGGTTGTGTCAAAAGCAGTTATCATGTTTTTGTCAGCTTAGTGTTTTATGAGCAGAAAGAGGAACTGGATTCTACTTGATATTTGTAGGTCTATAGTGTAGATTGTATCCAGGAATTTTAATATTATATCTTAAACTTAAATGTCAATTTTCAAAACTAAAAGGATTTCAGTTGATCTATATCTGCCATTGACATTACTTGTAAATTATTACAAATGTTCACTCAAGTAAATATTATCAATAAATAATTTGTTTCTGACGTTGATATTTTCATTCTTATAATAAAAGACAAGGTTTCACTGCGTTGCGACTATATTCAGTGTAAGCTGTAATGTTCTCTTGTACTAGTACAGTGTTATACTATATATTTATTGTATAGACATGCATGCACTATCCCTGCTTATCTCATTGTCATACAAGTTGTTTTATTCAAGAACAAATCAGTGAAGATTGTGTTGACACATTGTCAGCATGTTGTCACCCCAGAGACATGCAGTGTGAATCAGCTTATTCTAGGCGTCTCCTTGCAGACTTTGAACGTCCTAGCATTAAAGTGTCATTGACTCGGGATGGGTCATGATGACATTGTTAAAAGTACAATCTATCTTAAAGCCACACTTAGACATCACATATATGTTTTGATAAAGCAGCCATTTCTCTTGTTGTTATGTGTGGTTTGGTTTGGTTGTGGTATAACGCCACACTCAGCAATATTCCTCTTACGACAAGCATGGGTTGTTGAGGATCAACCCGGATCTTGACGGGTCTAACGACAGAATATGACAAAGGGAAGAGAGTTTTAAGATACTAAGGAAGTAAGGCATGTTTTGAAGTTTCAAAGAGAGCATTATTGTGTGTTGTGGGCTTAGAGGACATGCAGCTTGTCAAGCCTTTTTGCTAAGGTTGTTTTGAGGTTAGGTGCTGAGTATCCGAATGTATATATATAATTTTGATATTAACCAATAAACTCATTTAAATTGAAGAGGACCTGCTGTGAGAAGGGAGAATTTGAACCTGAGGCCAAATAAAAAAAATGTTGTGGTTCTGATTACACCTCTTTGAAATTTAGGGCAGGTAGGTAGGATTTTTAAAATATTTTTTTCTGCATTTTTTTCAGAAGTAAAGTACAAACTCATAACACATTTATCAATGTGTAATTGTTTATTCAATCAAGCTTGCGGCCATCATGTCGACTTTCTATATCAGACTGACCGATGTCAGTCGGTGACAGGAAAAAAAATGGTATCTGAAAGCTTATTTTATCCATACTGCCTAAAAAAGATAGGGTCGGCACCAGAATTCAAGGGTCGTCCGGGTAATCAGAACCACAATATATTTTTTTTATCTAGAGGATATCTAGACTTTCTTCATTTAGGACTTTAGCATTTCAGGGAGGGCTAGTCAGTAGGGAAAATAATGCGTTTCAGGGACTGTGAGACAGATTATTTGGAAGTGTATGAGCCTGACAGTGTGCAATCTTGAAGCAGCTATGGATTGTTGGTTAGTTTCCATTGATGAATCTCATTAAATTCAAGGACCCGTGAAGATCCGGGGTAGAATAGGTCTTCAGCAACCCATGTGCTTGCCATAAAAAGGCGACTATCTTGTCGTAAGAGGCGACTAACGGGATCGGGTGGTCAGTTTCGCTGACTTGGTTGACACATGTCATCGGTTCCCAATTGTGCAGATCGATGCTCATGCTGTTGATCACTGGATTGTCTGGTCCAGACTCGATTATTTACAGACCGCCGTCATATAGCTGGAATATTGCTGAGTGCGGCGTAAAACTAAACTCACTCACTCACTCATGAAATTCAAGAATAATTTCTTCTTTGAGTTTAGAAGTTGGTGTGATGAACAATGGGAAAGTGCTACAGATATACAACTTCTTTATTATAATGTGAGCAGCATTTTGGTGAGCTGCTAACACTGTTTTCAAGAATAATTTGTGGGATTGCGTAACGAATGGCAGCTGGTTATTGTGACATAGCTGGAGAATGGCACCATTGCCTGAAACAGACTTCCGTACATGAGTGGGCGGGTAGCATGTGTCTGTTGTAACATGTTTAGTTGTGCAGCCAGTAGTACAGTCATTATGCTACTCAGTTACTGGAAATAGAGCACTGTGTGCCCTTAATTCAGGCGGGGCAGTAGCCAAGTGGTTAAAGCGTTCGCTCATCACGCCGAAGACCCGGGTTCGATTCCCCACATGGGTACAATGTGTGAAGCTCATTTCTGGTGTCCTCTTCCGGGATATTGCTGGAATATTGCTAAAAGCGGAGTAAAACTAAACTCATTGGCTCATTAATTCAGGTGCTTGTTAAAAGTGGTTAGTAGACACAGAAGTAATGGAGTAAAATAGTCAATTACAGAAACAACTGATAGGCCAGTTATCAGATAGGATAATATGACATCAGATGAGCTAACTGGAAATGTGGGTATATAGATTTGAATTCTGTAAATTCAATGAAATCCTGCATCAAGTTTCATTATTGCATTATAAAGTGCATTTTTTAAGGTTCAGGGGTGGAAATAACTTTAAAATTGATAGTGTACTCCGGTACAGTGGCACATGTAAAATCACTTGCCCTGATAATTTTTCCACTATACGGGGCCGTTTTCTTGTTGATTTTTTTGAATAAACAACATAAATAACATTTGAAAGTCAACAGTGTGATATACAAATTTGCTTGCCCGACAGAAAAAAACACTGGACTCGGGCGTCGGGCAATGGGTTATTTCCACCCCTGAGGTTGGAATTTTATTTTTTCAGAGTTATTTTTCTGATCAAACACAATTTTGTGAAATAATCTACATTAAACCTTGTTAAATTTTTATTTTTGAATCACCCTAAGCATGTAGTTGTTAAGCATAATATTTGTTGTCATTGACAATGAATATTGCTTGACTTTAAAGCAAGTGTTTGAGACGGATTTCATTTCAGCTTTCTAGTCAAGATATGTATTATTCTATGTGTGTCTAATCCTGCGACATTGTGTGTTTCAGATGCTGGACACATGTAGTGACACCTTAGTGACACCTATAGCTCCAGCTTGTACTAGTAGTTAGACAACTCTCTCACTCGTCCACCATGACACAAAGCGATGACGTTGACCCTGACTTGCCCTCTCAGGACAAGGCCAAGGAGTTCTACGCCAAGTATGAACCCAAAGAAGTTCTTGGAAAGTAAGTCAAACATTCTTTATTTTTCAATTTTGGGAGGAGAGGGGTAGGGATTATGAAATGTGTGGTTGAAGGGATGTTGATGTCCAGTTACCATGGTTACAGAAAGGCATCTCTCATTGAATGAGTGGCATTGAAGTGCTTATTAGAATTTTCAATTTTTGTCAACTTGGCACTTTATAATGATCAAGATAGCTGTTGCTAATTGTGATGGATGTATTTTATATTTGATTTTAATTATATTTAGATGTAATTTTTGAAAATGGTTGTTCAAGAACATGAAAAAAGCAAACATTTCAAAAGCTTATCAATTATATAATATCTGTCCTGCATTGTACAGTCTTTTTTAGAATGAAAAGGACAACAACATAAGTTCCATTTGGCCAACTTGGGTGCTGTTTTAAAAAATCACATTAATTTAGTAAATATGTTAGTGGTTGGTTGATCATGTGACAGTGTTTCCAACACACAAGACATGGATCTGTCTATTATTACTTGTTTGTTTAATCTGCGACAGTAATGTGCTTGTTGATGTGGGAATGAGTGATGGTTGTGACATGTTTGTGACAGGAGGCAGTGTCAAACCACTAGCAAGTTCAACAACGTACAAGCTAGTTATCACATCACTCATGGTTAGCTATATTTGTGTCAAGTGTGTGGGCTGTTGCATTTTGTTGTTTAGTTGTTGTTAAATACCAGCTGTATGACAACGGTCAGTGTTTTAATCGAGCCTAGTGATTGACATATGAGGATAGATTTACATTAACCAAGTTCCTGTTAGACCTCCATACATACGACAAGCATGGGTAGCTGAAGACCATTTCTGTCCCACATCTTCACAGGACTGCTCATCCCAAATAAACACATGGAGGACATATTTTTGGATATAGTGATGACTGGATCAGATGGTCTGACTTCAGTTTTGAGCCTAAAATGCTTCTGGTATGCAGTGTTCACGAATCGTGTTTCAAAGGAACAGGACATTGGGTCCTGTAAGTTTCAGATGTCTGTTTGACCCATTGAAAATTCACAGGACCCATAGAATAAAATTAAACACACATTTCAGATTTAGCATTTCTTATAATTGGCACTGAATTTATAAACAAACATAAGATTTATAAACAGCAAACAGGTGTCACATGTCCCATATAACAACTTCAGTCAAAGTCTTTGTGAAATATACAGTCAGACACTGGGGCCGGCGGGTTGTAGACTTCTATCGGACCGTTGGCGAATCTGCCGGATTTGTCAGAGGGTCAGACGCTATTCGTGAACACTGGGTATGTGCATGATAAAAATAACTGTATGATATTGAAGAATGGTTTCTATCATTCACATAGCAAAGTAGTATGTAGTATGAATACTGAGTCCCATGGGGTACTCATACTGCTGTCAGTTGCTTTTCAATGTGCTTCGCCATGTGACCCTCGAGGACCTAAAACTTTATGACTGCTCTGTACTCAAGCTTATCCATTTCTGCCGTTTCAATAGGGGTACATGTTATTAGATGCCACATGACCGGAAACTAGCGCCATGTGCAAGTCATGTTTATGTGAATGATATAAACCATTCTTCTATGTCATACAGTTATTTTTTACATGCACATATCAGAAGTATTTTAGGCTCAAAATGTTTTGGTAGCCCCTCATACCATGTTCCATATACCTGGAATGTACACGGCCTAGTACTCAGTGGATCAGATGGCCCAACTCGGGGCCTTCCATAATAGATGCTGATGTAGGCCATTGCTGATAATATCAATCACTGGATTGTCTGATCTTGATTGTGCCATGTTCTGGGTTTTACAGAACTTGTCATACAGATGCATTGTACAACAAATGAATTTATGGAATGATAAGTATTGGTTCAGAAGTTTGATTCCATTTTCTATTAATTTGGCTGTTATGGCATCTCCATTGATCGGCAGAATATGAAGACAAGAGTTTTAGGAAAACAACTTCTGAATTAAAGAAGTTATCCATGACTGATTTTATGTCATTTACACTGATTGGCTTATTTTTATATTGCATGTGTCTCAGCTAACACGTGGATAAACAAAGGGTGAAACATTGGTTGTGACCAGGTTGACTATAGTAGGACCAGGTAAACATGTCTGGCTGGCCATGTCTAGTAACGGTCAGACAATATACACTCGTCCAAGGTCATGTCGGGTTGTCAGTCAACATTGTCCATGACGTACACAGTGGTCAGTAAACATGCTGGACTGATACCGAGATGGCTGAACCTGTTGACCATGCTGGTCAGTCTAGACGTTGGGTAGGGGCATGACTGGACAGACATATCAGGTCACTGGTGAGGTTTGAGTTGAGACTGGGGGCTGATGCTGGTGTTAAATTGTCAAAGAACACACACAAGCTTCTAGAACTAGACAAGTTCAGGGTAAACCTATACTTAACTACTCTACACATGTTGTAGAAGAAACTTTATTGAGTTCAAGTCCATCTCTGACTTCATATATCTTCAGTCTGCGTCTAGTAAAATCCTGTGAATACAAATTCCATTTCGAAAGCTGTCAAATGTTACACATGTTATATTCGGATTACACTTTCACGGTAAAGTACAGATTCTAGTAGTTTTCCCATCTGAGTCCCATCTGGGATTCAGACCACACCCTCAGAATCAGGTACCTAACTGCAGCACACAAAATCAGCTGTCTAACCCACTCAGCCACCACTACTTCCACTGGTGCTATTCAAAATAGTCCAAAATTTGAGGTTGGTCCACTGTGGCGCCACATTTGGCTGTGTGAATGGCAGAAGCCTATGACCCAAGGATGGAAATAACCCATTGCCCGACGCCCGAGTCCAGTGTTTTTTTCTGTCAGGCAAGCAATTTGTATATCACACTGTACCGGTGTCCAGTTAATATTCCAATGTTAAATATGTTGTTTATTTAAAAAATCAACAAGAAAACGGCCAGTATAGTGGAAAAATTATCAGGGCAAGTGATTTTACATGTGCCACTGTACCGGAGTACACTATCAATTTTAAAGTTATTTCCACCCCTGTGACCATGGGTTTGAATCCCACAGTTCATGTTTAAAGGTTTGCCAGCACCATACCCGTGCTTCTGGGTTTCACACAAAGTGGTAATCATCTAAGACTTGAATCAAATCTAATATTCCTCCCACACCATTCCTGATGATATACCTTGATATACCTTGATATACCTGAAGTACTGTTCAAAGTGTTGTTAAACCAAACTAACTCATTAACAAATGATGGTCTGTATAAAATCAAACATACACACTGAAAATGATAAAGTTGGCACTAGTTGAGCCAATTATCTCGGGCACATGGCCTAGTAAAGTGTATGGCTGAATGTTTCATAGTTTGTTCATAGGTATCTGTATGATATTGAAGAATGGTTTCTATCATTCACATAGCAAAGTAGTATGCAGTCACATAAAAGAACACAAATAATGAAACCTTTTTATTCTTTGTCACTCTTTAGCAAGGTCTTTGTTAACAACTTCAGTACACCTAACCAAACTCCTTGTTAACAACTTCAGTACACCTAACCAAACTCCTTGTTAACAACTTCAGTACACCTAACCAAACTCCTTGTTAACATCAGTACACCTAACCAAACTCCTTGTTAACAACTTCAGTACACCTAACCAAACTCCTTGTTAACAACTTAAGTACACCTAACCAAACTCCTTGTTAACAACTTAAGTACACCTAACCAAACTCCTTGTTAACAACTTCAGAACATCTAACCAAACTCCTTGTTAACATCAGTACACCTAACCAAACTCCTTGTTATCAACTTCAATACACCTAACCAAACTCCTTGTTAACAACTTAGTACACCTAACCAAACTCCTTGTTAACAACTTTAGTACATATAAACCAAATTCCTTGTTAACAACTTCAGTACACCTAACCAAACTCCTTGTTAACAACTTAAGTACACCTAACCAAACTCCTTGTTATCAACTTAAAAACACCTAACCAAACTCCTTGTTAACAACTTCAGTACACCTAACCAAACTCCTTGTTAACAACTTTAGTACACCTAACCAAACTCCTTGTTAACAACTTCAGTACACCTAACCAAACTCCTTGTTAACAACTTCAGTACACCTAACCAAACTCCTTGTTAACAATTTCAGTACACCTAACCAAACTCCTTGTTAACAACTTCAGTACACCTAACCAAACTCCTTGTTAACAACTTCAGTACACCTAACCAAACTCCTTGTAAACAACTTTAGTACACCTTACCAAACTCCTTGTTAACAACTTCAGAACATCTAACCAAACTCCTTGTTAACATCAGTACACCTAACCAAACTCCTTGTTATCAACTTCAACACACCTAACCAAACTCCTTGTTAACAACTTAAGTACACCTAACCAAACTCCTTGTTATCAACTTAAAAACACCTAACCAAACTCCTTAACACTTCTAACCTAAACTCCTTGTTAACAACTTTAGTACACCTAACCAAACTCCTTGTTAACAACTTCAGTACACCTAACCAAACTCCTTGTAAACAACTTTAGTACACCTAACCAAATTCCTTGTTAACAACTTCAGTACACCTAACCAAACTCCTTGTTAACAACTTCAGTACACCTAACCAAACTCCTTGTTATCAACTTCAATACACCTAACCAAACTCCTTGTTAACAACTTCAGTACACCTAACCAAACTCCTTGTAAACAACTTTAGTACACCTTACCAAACTCCTTGTTAACAACTTCAGTACACCTAACCAAACTCCTTGTTAACAACTTCAGTACACCTAACCAAACTCCTTGTTAACAACTTTAGTACACCTAACCAAACTCCTTGTTAACATCAGTACACCTAACCAAACTCCTTGTTAACAACTTCAATACACCTAACCAAACATCTTGTTAACATCAGTACACCTAACCAAACTCCTTGTTATCAACTTCAATACACCTAACCAAACTCCTTGTTAACAAGTTCAGTACAACTAACCAAACTCCTTGTTAACAACTTTAGT